AAAGAAAAGATGTCATTTTTTTAATCCATTGAATTTGTTTCCAGACACTTCTTTCTATATTCCAATTCTGTTATTTATTTTAGCAAAAGCTCTTCAGTTTTCTAAACATGTTCTTATCATCAGTAAAATAGAAGATCAAATTCCCTGGACTTCTGATGTTTACTTCATAAGTTATAAACTCCTTAAAGGCAGGATTTTTATTTAGTTCTTCAATAACATATCTCAAGCTGGCAAGCTGGGCACATACTAAACACTCAGTACTCAGAATACTCAATAAGTACTATTCATAAGGAACAAAGGAAGGAAGGAAGAGATGGAGAGGAGAGAAAGGAAGGAAGGGAGGGAACAAAAGAGACTGGAGCTCCATATTTCACTGTACACAGTCATATTCATCTTTGGGTTTTAATAAGTCTCTTAATCATATATAGACAACAAGCCATTGGGCCATCTTGGTGCCTGACCCTTGACATCCAACCTTGATTAAGGACCCTCATGACAGCCTCTGGCATCTCCAGCTATTACCACTAACAAAATAGGTCCCTTCATCCAAATCCCAAGGCCTGTACCTTCCTCTTCAGCAATAACATGGAACAGAAGCTGGCACCTGATGAGCACCACTCTGTGCCACTCAATGCTGGGTGAATGCTCTGGATACTCTGTCCTGCAAATGTCCTCAGAGCCTGGGGTGGGACTTACTCTGGTTCTTAGGCCTGTCTTCCTCTCACTCCTGGTTAAAATTTTTATTGTAATTAACTGTACCACAGAGGAAGCACTGCTTCCTTAACTAGGAAGAACACCACAAAAAGTAGATTTTGTTCATTGTCACATTTTCCAAGTTAGTCTGACCTGCTTCACCAAAATTGCTTATTTATTTATTTATTTTCTTTAGACAGAAAAACTAGCCTCAGGAAGACAAAAATTTCTTCTGTTGAGTGATACCCAAAGGTAATACTATTAGTTCTGAAATCATTTTCAAAAGTGACATTTTAAAACTCTGAGAATTCCTCAAAAAATTAAGCATAGAATTTACCACATGATCCAGCTAAGAATTGAAAGCAAGGACTTGGGCAACTATTTTCACACTCAGCCT